CTCTTGGTAATTGTTGGAATTTGCCACATTCCTTACAATAATTGGCATTCCTTGCAAATATGAACAACTTTCCTGCATGCTGCACAATACATCCTGTATTCTACATTTTTGTTTCTTTTCGCTGTTGAGATATTCTCTCATACATTTGCATGTGCGGGGTAATATGATATTATATGCAAATGCAGTGAGAGATATGGTCACGTTTACTTTGCGACAAATAGGATGGCGTTAATGGTGCGGGGTCAGTACTATTTTATTCCCCGCACAATGGTTTCGTGATCAGCTGTGCTGAAGACTTTTCACTGTAATAATTGTTGTTTGCATACCCACTTTAACTCTAGGATATGCGCACATAAATTCGCGTTTTACATGTAACTTAGAACTTTAATGGAAACAATATTCTTTGAGCTATACTTTCTGCTCCTCTTACCATGAAATCGCAACAGTAATCAATTCCAAACCTTTGGGGAAAGCCTTTTGCTGTACATCTGGCCTTCCATTTATCTATAGTCCCATCTCCGAGAAATTTTTTCTTGAAAACCCATTTACATTTCATTGGATGTCGTCCCTTGGGTAATTTATTGCGGTTAATAATTTTTATAGCACCTTTCTCTTTCAAAGAGGAGAATTCTTCTTGAGCTGCCTTCATCCATTGTTTAGCTTCTGGGCCTGTCATAGCTTCTTGCCATGTTTTAGGATCTGATGATGTAATTGCAGACATTCCATGATACATACGGTAGTAGTCGTGTTTTATAACCTTTCTACCTCTTTTCGTCTGCATAGTTTCAGCTTCAGGAGAGTGAGCCCTTTTGTGTCCGGCTTTTGGAGCTACTGGATCCCAACCTGTCATTATAACATCATAGGGAGTTTCCTCATTAATTATTTCGTGATTAGGTTGAGCAACTACTTTATTTTTACTCGGACCTCGATGAATATTAGAATCTGGAGAACGAGATCTTTTCTGTCCAGCGATGGGGGGTATTGGATCCCATCCAGTCATATTGAAGTCATATGCTACTTCTTCATTCTCATTTGCAAAATCATTGTAATTTTGGATTTCTTCCTGAAATTGACTCCGTTCTGTCATGTCTTGTCCTATCTGTGCTTGTTGATTGATCTCTTTCTGGTGTTGCAGATACGGCTCTAAATTCTCTGCCAGCGTATACTCCCTCTGTTCTTCTTGACATTTCTCGCTCTGCTCCTGCGGATTAATTACTCTTTCTTGACGTGGAAAAAGCTTTGCCTGATCTTCTAGAGTTGGTTCCCTCTGTTCTTGGGGATGTATCTGTGACGGTACATACTCTTCATTGGAGGTATTATTTTTCATTTCTGAGTCTATTGATGGATCTTTTGGAGCAGTTGGAACTTGTGGTACATCATCTTCAGTCTCTGATGACTGACCAACTTCCTCTCGATAATGCTCCCTCTCGAACTGTTGATCATTTTGGATATCTGGAGAGGTGGAAGATGAAGATTCTGATGGCTCCTCTGATCTATCAAAAAAGGATGAAGTTCCATTACTCCAGAAGTCAGATGCTCTTTGTTGTGCAACTAGGTTAAGTCTATCTCCGAACATGACATCTTCATTGAATGTGACATGTGGAGAAAAGCTTTCTATCCATTTCCAACCTTGTATTGGAGTCCAGTGCGGGTGAAATATAATAAAGTTCTTGTTGGTATTTGCTTGAAAACCAACAAACCACCCCATCTCTGCTCTAGGAGAAAATTTACCAGGCTTTGGATCTATATATTTGTAGGCACGACATCCGAAGCGTGGCAAATTCGAGAAGTCTATCTTTTCTGGGGCTGGTTGATTTAATCCTTGAAGAAAGTCAATGAGGGGCACCATTTTTGTGCGTAGGCAGTAGAGCCAATTAACAATAAAGCACGCATGTTTAATTGCCCATGGCCAGTAACAAGATGGCATTCGAGCGTCAATAAGCAAAGACCTTGCCATTGTCAAGACGACTTTATTTGCGGCTTCTGATGCACCATTTTGCTCTGGTGTATCTGGAGCAGATATATTGGTTCTAATTCCGTGTTGCTCGCAGTATGATTTAGTACGCATGAACTCGGAGCCCCCATCTCTAAAAATTATTTTCACACGTTTATCATACTGGTGCTTTTGATCTTCTATCCACTGTATTAAAAGTGATGCAATCTGGTCTTTTAAATGTGTAGTCAATGCCCATTGCATGCGAGTCTTTGCATCTGTTATGATGACCGCGTATTGTTCTTCATATACAGCAGCTGTTAGTTTTCCAATTGTGTCAACAAATATTTCATCCAGGGGCTCGTTTGGTATGAGTCTTTGATCTCTAGGGATAAATCGCTGAGCTTTACTTAGATGACATGTCTCGCAAGTGCTGAGATCACTAAAGGTTATTGATTGTAGGCCAACTGAACAATCTACTGTTTTCTCTAGGATTTTTTGACCAACATGCCCTAGACGTTCATGCCACCTCTGTGCGCCGGTAGTATTAGGTACTCTTGCTACACCTGGTGCAACAACGTTATTCTGTTCTTTTGGAGAGTTTTTTTCATTAAGCGGACGAACATAATAAACATCATTCTTACAAACGAGGCGAGCTATTTTGATATCTGGCTTTCCTCTTTTCTTTTGAACTAACATTTTATTTTCAGGGTCAGGGACTATATTTGCCAGTCTCTGGAGCCTCCCAGCTGACAAAATAGTACATGCTGATCTTGGAGAGTATACTGCGTTATGAAGTTCGTACCTTTTATTCCCTATACTTAGGCATGCTGTACCATAGTGAGTCAGTGATGACGAGCTGACTGCTTGATCAAATTTGAACGCTTTAGAGTACTTTTTCAAGTTGACAAATTTGTTTTTGTTTGGCACAAAATGATGCGAGGCACCAGTATCATATAGCATACGTTTTTCATTTGAATTTAGGATGCTGGCTACTATTGGTCTTTTATCAATTTCTTCCTCATCACTTGATTCTTCTTGACATGCAGTCTCAGCCTTTCCATTCTTATCTTTCACCTTTCTATACTGCCGAAGTTCAGGATGTTGCTTAAAACAATCTTTGTTAAGATGTTTATGTCTACATCTCCAACAAGGATCATCTGGGCCTGGTTCCATTCTGCTATTATTAGAGACTGAGGCTACAACTGGATTTGGCCTTAGAGATCTCTGCTCAACTGCTACTCTAAGAGTAGACATCATATCATCCAGCCTAGCGTACTTTTTTCCGTCAGTGTACGCTCGTGTTTCTCTCCAATTGCTCAGCCACTTCACTTCCATGGTTCCTTCTACAAACATGGCGGCTGCATATCCTTTTAAGACAACAAATTCATTTTCAGTCTTTTCAGCTGATGTTTGTGGGGTTTCTATCATTAACTCGGCCGCATTGTTCACATCATGTAGGTTCTTTATGAATTTGTTGCAGTAGGATTCAGCGTTATCCCCCATTTTGGTATTATGAAGGGCTCGGAGTGCTACTGAGTATGGGGCTGTAGCAGACTGCTGGTGTGTGTTTGCCACCTCATCGAATAACTGCTTTGCTGTACAGTGCCAATAATGCCTTGGCCGAATCTTCTCATCTAAGCGTTGCAGTATTATATTTTGTGCCTCTATCTCTCCATACTTCCATATTGCCAACTTTTCCTCATAGTCATTCACCAAGTCATGACTCTTCTCAGTCGATAGTTTTTGGCTTTCAAAGCTTATCGGGGGAGTTGGTTTTGAAATCGGTTTTATGCCTTCGATGTTATGAAAGACATGGCCTAATACTTTGCGTCGAGCTAGCTTGGCTTGTAGGTTGTTCTCCCAACTGACGAAGGAAACACCTGGTGCCAAGACGATCTTGTTGTCCTTGTGACCCATGGTTATTCTGTATTGTTCCTTATGTGATGAGCCCGGGCTCATAACCTATTGTAATAACGAGGTTATGAGAAGTCTAAGAATTGTTACAATGGGTGTAACAGTCAACTTGGGTGGATGTAGGATAGCACTTTAAGTCTAACGTGAAGAAGACAGATATATATTATAGATCTGCCAAATTGATGACTATTGAATATAAGAATGGAAAAGGTTGATCATATACAGAGGTCTAGCAGCGAGTATTTATACACAAAGACAATATACACAATATACCATAAATAGCAATAACTGCCAACCATTCAGCCATTCAACAACTATGTCATTAGATATACCTGCGTCATATTATCATATAATCATGTATGGTTGAGATATTGGTGTTGTCATTGCTGTGTGCCAATGACGTATCATTGACGCAGGGTCGCTTGTCTTGTTGGTTCACTTGCCCAATACTAGCCATTCCAAGTTGTGTGATCTATAAGTGGGTCTGATCACAACAGTTCCTGTGAGCCATTCAGCTGCCGTAAAAGCGGTAGCAGCATCAATTACATGCATATACGGACCATCCTCCAAGTAGATGACGTCAACATATATTGTATGATTGAATTTGTTGTCTTTTCTTAGTGCAAATTTAAATCGGAGGGGCCTGTTCGCGTTTAATTGAAAATCTCGACAAAACTTGGTTAGGCGATGGATTGTTTGGAATTCGGCATTGTGACCTGCTGTTTGTAGTACTTTCTGTTGTAAAAATCTGAGTTCATAACTGCACACACCTTCAGGGGATAACTGTGCACCAGCAAAGTTAACCCCTTAGAGTCTAATCACTATTGCCTCCTGGTCCCTACACACTAACATCAACGTGTTCACTACAATGAGGACACCATTGTAGTTACTCTAGCTATCATAGACAATACCATGTAGAGGAATAAGGGTAGGAACTCCTGTATATAGATAGGGCCTTTTTACTCTCAGTATCTATACATCAATCATCCACAAATACAATTCACCATCAATCAATCATCTTACTCTGTCAAAGTGATCTATTGAATTCTCCCATACCTATCAGTATTTTATTCACAAGGTGACGTCTCCCTATCCATCGCCCTCAGCCTTTCAATACTTTCCACATCCTTGTAGCGGAGGGGTGTCCCCATCAACAATGAATGGTTTGTAACTCCTGCTCGGTTAATAGACACATTGGAGGTTCATTGTTCTCGTATACAAAGAGATTTTCGAAGTATCCCAAAGTCATCCAAAGATGGCCGTACTTTTCAAAGAGATGTGCAACAGTCTTTCCATGCTTAAGCATCTTGTTATTTACAACATCCGGCGTTGCTCCAAAACGTTTCATGTTGCTTAGTTCAAGAAGAAAAGGAATATTACAAGATATAAGATGAAATGAAATCTGGCCAATAGGTGTATTAAGGACAACTGCGCCGATCGATGAGAATATGCCTGCACCGATTCCAGATATGTTGACTTTGCCAGCTTGTGTCCTGTCGAGCTTTAGATCACCACAAAGTTGTTGGAGTGCTCTAAATTGGCCAAGTCCAACTGTAGACCTCCCTGCAGCGCCAGTGTCGACAAGTAATCCGTGAAAAACACAGTCATTGTATCTGTCCGTGGTTAAGTTTCCTAAAGCATAGGTTGATTCAAAAGATTTGATTTTGTTACTGGGAATTTTTTGTAAATCAAAAATGGTGGCATTGGAAACAGATAAATCAGATATCTCGGAATTTGCTAGAATTATTTGTATTTTTGGTTGATCTGAGATATTTAATCTAGGCGCTGTAAATGAGTGTAAAATAGTTTGGTCAATCAAATAGGCTACAGCGTTCTCACTACCAATTTCTTCAACAAGGTTTCCGGATTGAAGAATTTTGTCATCAGAGTTGTGATCTGGCCTGGTCTCTAAATGGGATTCAAAATCTGTCAATAATATGTCAAGGCTGTCTTCCGGCCGTTCTCCTTCAACTTCGATTACGAATTGCCTAATCTCTGTGTCTGGCTTCATAGGGTACCATTGCTTAATTCGGTCAAATGCTTTCTGCCTTTCTTCTTTTGAATGATTGGTTGACCAGCAGTTTGTTTTGTGACAAATTAGGCATTCCTTAACCCATGTGCTTGACTGTTTGGGGCCAGCTTTGTTGCTGTTTGAATCATTGGTTCCTCGGGTCAATCATCCACTACCTCTATTTTTGCCTCTTTGCCTGCTGAAGTCTAGTGCGGTGTTATAGTGGCAGTCAGCCATGTGGATGCCATTTGAATTTGTATGGTTAGGGTAGTTCATTTGTTGGTGATATTGAGACAATGGGTTTGACAGAGATTTCTGATCTAGAGCACCGTACATGTCGTTAAAGACACCTTCGAAAGTCTCTACAGGTCGATATAGGGCGAACTCAAGTTCTGTAATCCCAGAGCATGCCGCTACGAGGCGGTTGCGCAATGCTCTATCGCCTTGGTGATCTACCAAACCTCTTTGGATTCTGCGAAACTCCATTTCTAACCATTTAAGATTGTTTTTGACTCCATCTTCGGGGTACGCGGCGATTCTTGTAGGTAAACTTAGATTTAACCAACTAATCTCCCGTCTATTGCGCCAATTATCGGTCTCATAATGAGTCTTCATTGCTCTACAGCGATCTTCAAACGTCATCTCGTCATGATCAAGTGTCTTGTCAAGGTAGATACCTCTTGCAGCGCCAGTAAACATATGAGAGAGTGCCTCTTTCATGTAACAACCCTCAACATATGCATCTTTACAATTATTGCGAAAAACCTTTAGCTTATAATCAAAGCTGTTGAGTCCATCTGCATATTTGTCAGATTCTTTGTAAAGTCTTGCAAGTGATTCGAGTTGTTTATTTTTAGGTTGGTGATGATCTTCCCATGGTTCATCTCTGATTGGTCGAAAAAGTGAACACTTTTGCCCTTCTATCTCATCAATTCCTTCCTCCTCTGTAGATTTATCTTTTCCTTGTTCCTGTTCTTTATTCTTCCAATAATATTTCTTTTTGTCGGCTCCATATATCCTGTCGACTTCTTTTCCTTTCTTTGTTTTGTATTTTATATCCTCCTCCTCCTTGACTTTCTCATCATCTTTCTGCATGTTCAGTCCATGATATGCAGGATCTCGGGGGTTGAATGCACTGTTGATTTCCATTCTAATCCTTCAATTACTGTAAAGGGCCCAGCTGTAAAATTCTTCATCCGTCCATTCATGGTACGCCTGAGCAGAGAGTGCTTCCATTAACTGGCCTGAGACATCCCTATGACTGCCTGGTTGCGTGGGTGTCATATATACTCTATTTGAGACGAGATGGTTACGAAAATCTCGTCTTTGGTTTGCAGTGGCTTTGTCAAAGTGAATCTTTTCCCATTTCTCGAATTCTTCCTTTAGTACTTCCCAGAGGTTTTCATCTCGGAATCTAAATTGTCGCCACTCTGCAATCATTCTTATTAGAAATCGATCTATCTCCTCCTGGGTTGCTGTTGAGAGATCTTGGATGACTGGGCGTGGGTTTGACATTGTTGTTTGCTCCTGAAAAACGGGTATAGTAACTCCAGGTTGCGGGAACAAAGGTGGTGGTTGCGTGACAGACGCATGATTTAAATGTCTCTAGGAGTCCAGGTAAATCTGGGGGGGTTAACACGTTTCCAACTAAGGACGACGTTCCTTCAATAAATACTTCGCGAATCTGTGAACCGTTGATATAGGCTCACTGATCAGTGTCGGTATAACAGCGGCTTGGAGATTTAATGTGCTAGCACAAATGTTCTGGTAACAGATTGTTCTTGTAGAAAATGTCTATGTATATTCTATCTAACAAACACGTAAGGAAAATGCTACCTGAACCTGTCTACAAGTTGGCCTTAGAAATTAGGTTTACACATGATAAAATCCCTCATAGTGGTCATTTATTCCAACACTACGGGAAAGTGTATCTGCCAGGGTGTTTGTAACTCCTGTTTGGTACATGATCTCAAAGTGGAATTGGGCGAAGAACTCCGCCCACCGTGCTTGTCGAGCGTTGAGATCTTTTGTTGACATAAAGTACTCCAAGGCGCGGTGATTGGTATAGACGTGAACCGTCTTTTGCGCACCCAGCAACTCAGGTTTGTACTGTTGGAAAGAGCGGAAAATCACAAGTAGCTCTTTATCGTGGATCGGGTAAATCAGCTCTGCGTCTATCATGGTTTTAGAGAAGAAACTGACTGGGTGGAACATTCCGTCGTCTTTAAGTTGTGAAAGCACGCCAGTCACTACCCCATCAGAAGAGTCAGTTTCGAGTCTAGTTTGCTTGAATGGATCGTAGTGACATAAGATAGGAGCCGTCTATAGGGTGTGTCTGAGACGCTCCCATGCCTCCTTGCAAGCTCCACCGAAGTGGAAGGGGACGTCTTTTCCAGTCAGTAATGTGAGTGGTCGGCAAATACTGCTGTAGTCTTTGATAAATTGACGGTAGAAGTTACAGAAACCTAGGTAGCTTTGTACGCCGCGAACGTTGCTAGCGTCACGGCGTAGAATAAGCACAAGTGAGAGTACAGCTTGTATAACTATATATTCAATCTATTGAGCAAATACTAAGACAAAGAAGAAAGAAAGAAGGTCTAATGATACTAGAATCTGCAAGCTTTTGTGTGTATGCTCTCGCTTCCCAGGGTTGCGTGACCTTATCTTATCTCCTCCCACATATTGGTTCCTCACCCAGATACCTTCTTGGTCACCTGATAAATGTAATGACATGGCAGAATGCCATGCTGTTACAGCTAGCATATTCCCAATTCTTGATAACCTCAATTTTCTCGGGGTCTACCTCAATTCCGGTGGTACCAATGATGAAGCCCAAGAATTTCGTACGTGTCACGCCGAATTCAGACTTTTTGATGTCTGCCTGGAGGCCGTGGTCTCGCAATATCTCCAATATTTTTTGTACATGAAGGTCATGCTCCGCTTCTGAATCTGAGTAGATCAAGATATTGTCAAGGTAAGCTGAGCAGAAGTCGTCTAGGTATTCCATTAAGATATTGTTGATAAAACGTTGAAAGGTGGCAGGGCCATTAGTCAAGCCAAATGGAAGTACTTTGTACTTATATGTTCCGTAACAAGTGCGGAAGGTAGTGAAGTCCTCCGAATCTTTTGACATACTTATTTTGTAAAATGCATGCTGAATATTGACTTTGGTGAAGATCTTTGCTTTAGAGATTCTAGCCATCATCTCATCAATCAAGGGAATAGGATAGGGATCTTTCTGGGTAAGCTCGTTCAGCTTTCGGAAATCGACACAAAATTGAAGCCCACTGCCAGCCTTCTTTGTCATAAGGATAGGCGCAGCCTAGGGCGCGTTTAATGGTGCAATGAACCCTTTATGGAGGTTCTCAGTGATATAACGCTTAGCTTCAGCGAGATATTTGTCTGGCATGCGTCGGAGAGGCTCTGTCGTAAGCGTGTTATCGCCGGTGAGTTTAATTTTGTGGTCGACAGTGGGTCTCCTCGCAGCGAGGTCGTCTGAAGCTCTGGTAGAGAATAGGTCCTTAAACTCCTTCCACTTCTCGGGGAGGCGCTCTGTAACTAACTCATCGTTCTGCCGGTATTTAGCTTCGCGAGTTTCCGCCGGGGAGAGACCTGCATCAAGAGCCGACAATTCCACGGCAACAGCGGCAAGCTTGTTTTGACGTCGTTGGATCTCATCTTGAATATCTTTGAGGGAGGCGACGAGAACTTCCGAATCGTCGTTATGGGCCTTCTGGCGGTGCTTCCGATGCAAGTAGAACTGGTGCATTGAGGCGGCGGAGATCAGGTTGATATCAGTCTCATACGGCTCGTTTTTAACTCGGTGAGTTGCCACGGCGACGGTCTAGCGTTGGAGAGCTTGATCAGCTTGCTCGACTTGTGAGCCGGGATTACGGGTGGTAGAGGGCGATTTAGCCAGTTGGTGATCAGCGAGTAGTTCATTCATTCTTAGGAAGCCTTGCTTAAGTTCCCTGACAAACGAGGAGGGACGCTTTTGAGTCTTCTTCGGTCGAAGGGAAGGGGGAGTTCGTACACTAGAGAGCTCTTCTTCAAACAGAGCATCTCGTTGTTGCTGGTCAAGTTGGCTCTGTAGGTTCACCATGGGCGTCTTGGGAGGTAGGAGTAGCTCTAGACGCCTATCGAAGTAGTGCTGAGGTGGCATATCAAACAGCCACTCTAAACGGTTTTTCGTACGACGATTATAATTCTGCTTGAGTTCGTAATGTTCTAAGAACTTTCGGCCGATGAGCACATTGTTGCTTCCCAGGTTGGTAATCAAGAATGGGAAGTTGACGTGGCGGCGATCGATCGTGAGGGTAAGGAGAATTACGTGGGTGATAGCAGCGCCGGCTTGTCTGTTATAGCCAGTGGGTTTAATTGGCTTGGGGAGAGTAAGGAATTTGACGCCTAAAAGGTCACGAAGTCGGAGAGCGACAGAGGTACGAAGCGCCCCAAAGATATTTGCTCCGCTGTCGATATATGCAGTTGTTTTGATGAATGATCCATTTCTACCTAATTCAATACTAACTAGGAATTGTTTTCCTCCAGTAAGAGAACGGAAATCAGCATTCAAGACTTTCCACAAATCGAGGCATTTGCCATGAGAGGAGACTGTTCCACGGCTTAAGAGTTTCCCGACAGCTCGTCAACCTCAACAGGTTGTGGGCCGTCCTCGTCGCCGTCATCGTGCTATAACATTAATTCCTCCACCGATCTACCAGTCAGTTCTGCAATCTTTACGGCGTTGGGGCAATCCCTAGCCCAATGGCCTTCCTTTCGGTAGAGACAACAGGTATTGGTAGCGCTGAGAGTACGACGTATGACTTGTGGTACGGTCTCAGGAGTGGTAGGGAAGCGTACAGCGGAGGTGTTGCGAGCAGCATCAGCCGTCAGGCGCTCAGCAGTCCATCCCGATTTTTTCAAAATACTCGGGTTTCTGCTAGCGTTGTTTCCGACGGCAACAGCAACTACCTTCTTATGGAGAGCATCCTCGGCAAGTATGTTGCGAGATTCTCGGTCGGTGACAGCTAAGAACTCGTCGAGAGTAGTGTAGTCGTTGCTCATCTTGTACTTCTCAGTCATAATTTGGAGCTTTAAGGCGGGAGAGATTTTCTCACAAACGTCATCAAACCAACGAGCCCTGGCGATTTTACCAGTGATGGCTAGGTTGGTGAACTTGATGCGGAATTGATTGTATGTCATATTACTAGTCATCTTCAAGTTGCTGTAGGCAGCTTTGGCTTTTTGGACACGGTTGTGGTCAAAGAAACGTTGATCTGGGGCAGCGAGGACGTCGGCAGCACCCTTGAATTCGGTGGTAACATCTGTATCCATATGCTGAAGGATAATAGTCTTGGCCTCTCCTCCAGTACACTTGAAGTACGCCTTTACCTGGGAGTCTCCAGCGCAGAAGTTACCAGAGAGCTCCTCAATAAAGAGCTTCATGTCCATCTTCCAAGCATCGTACTCAATCTCTCCATTGTGGT